GTCGGGACACCCGTTAGAACGCGCAGCGCGGCGCGGCGCGACGAGGAAAGGAAGGGCCCCGGAGACTCTCGAAGCCGCCGCGGCTCGCCGTGCGAGCGAGCGAGGCGTTCCGAAAACCTGTAATTACGGACCCGGCGTACATCAAGCGGTGCCGCCGCCAGCCGCCGGCCGAGGCCTACGTCTTCCGTCTCTCTTTTTATATCCGTTTCTTTTCCCCGCCTTTCTCCTGCCTCGCTCTCGCGCCGCTTCTCCACCGACTCGGTTCCCTCCCCCCGGCTCCTCGTCCATCTCGCAATTCCTCCCCTCCAGGCCCCTTCAGGGCCGTACTGTCGTAAGGGTACGCAAAATGAAATAACTGCTCTTCATTTGAATCCGTTGATTTCTTGCGAACGTCTCTTTATGACGATTTATTAAAAATTGAAGAAAAAATAATGTATTCTAAAAGGATTTATAAGAATAATTGAATTAACTTGTACGAAGATTATAATTAATTTTGTAAACCATTCTTCGTAAAACAATTTGTGACGATATAATTGATCAGTCTATAGATTCCTGATTAGCTTCTGATCCCGAGGATAATCTGTAACGATAGAGGCAATGTCATCGATAGACGTAATGTCATCGACGTTACAGATACTAATTTATTCTTCGACACCTACACACATATCCGCAAACTATATTTAATTTTTGCATTTCTGATTTTTATGCTGGCGGTAGTTTTTGACAGCAAAAGCGAATATAATAATTTATATAGCCGTAAGTAACTGCTTATATATTTATTATATTTCAATCCCAAGGGTGGAAACCCTAAGAACATAAAAGAATCATAGTACGACATTGCTGCCCTCTTTGATCTCTCATTCTTTTCCTCTCCTTCTCTCTTCTATTTCCGAAAGCACCGCCGTACCTGCCCGACTCTTCTTACCTATACGCCTCTTCTCTTTTCGTCGATGCTTTCTCTCGCCGTGTGTCATTCCGTTTCTTCTCTTCTCTGCCGTCTGTTATCAGTGTATCCGCCGTCCTACCTTAAGCTTACTCCGGATAATAGCTCAATCGCGAAATAATAATTAATATTATAATTTTATTATTACATTTAATATTCGATTGCTGAAAAATATAGAAAGGAGAAACTCGCACTCTCTTGGGAGATTCGCTGGAGGAAAGGAACGCGCGTGGTTGATCGCGACGTACAAAAAGCCGGCGTGTCAGCGACTGCATAGAGAGGTGTATCGTCGGATGGCCTTTAAGATTCCTCTTCGTCCGCCGATGCGCGCCTTTCTTCTTCCCGCAGCATCGTTCGCTCGTCCTCGTCTCCCGTTTTTTTGAAAGAATCTTAATCGCTCGCCGCGCGGATAAACGGCCCTCGCGAGATCGTCAGCGACCGGTGTTGCTGGTCGTTCTCGCTTTTAATTCGTTTAAACCTCCGCTTTTTAATCATTTCAATCATTCTAATTGTAGGTATATTTAGCAAAATTTTAATTATATACTTATGCGATAATTCTAATCATTTTTAATCGCATCTCCAAGTTTGCTCTTAACATCTCGCGGTTACAGATTTTTCCCGCACTTTTTTATTCTTTAATTAAATTTTGGAGTCGCTAAGACTACGAAATTTCCGAAAAAGATTCCTTATTTATTATCGCGATAAACGTCATTTAAGTAAGATAAATAAGAGAAAGATATACCCCCTCCTTTCGATAACGGAGATGAGAAATGGATCGCGCGAATATCGAGAGAATTCATAGAGAAACACCGGGGAAAGCAAGCTTCGCGACGAATCACACAGGCAGATCACTCGAGTGGCTTCGGATGAGCAAATCATTTCGCGATGGTCCTCCACGAGACGGTTTCAAAGCGCGTTCTCGACAATCCCATCGTTGCGCATCTCATACGGCGAAAGAGCCCAAAGGGCTCTGTCAATTATCATTTTCCGCTTCCCCCCTGAAATGCTGTCTTTCGCGAGTAGTCGACCGATCGCGCGCGATATGACACGCATTACACCTTTTGGAAAATGCCGTCTCAAGTAATTGATCTCGCGCATTATTTTTTAATTATTATTAAAATATTGCGTAGAATATAATTCATTACACGTTGAACATGTGTACCGTCCCTGAGGATGTAAAGGGAAAGACATATCGTGACGACAGCTGTTTCTCGATCTGTATCCCGATGCACTTATCTTTGACAGTTTGACGCTTAAAAATTATTTATTTTTATATCACATATTTCATAGCCAATCCCTATGCATGTTTGTGAAATCTAATTAGATAACGCGAGCCGCACAAATAGCGATTTACATTCTCGAGTTGACCATAAGAGAGATCCCACAACAATGACATATCTAGACAATGGATCTCCACTTCTTTCGACGCGCACGAATTCCGAGGGGTCGGACACACTCGCCTCGACGCGTTTACCTCGCGCACGTGTCCCGATACAAGCACGGATATCGGCGGTGACCGGAAGCCGCCGCGAATTCCTCGCGTCTGGAATTGAAAGTCACAGGGGTGTGAATTTTAATATCATATCGCGGGAAGAGAAGAGAAACTCTTTTCGCGCGAATGGACACGGGAATTCTCGCGAATTCTTCGCGGCGCATACGGCTTTAACACGCCTCGACGGATCTTAATATTTCGTCGAACGTGTATCCCTTATGCCTTCGCGCGGTATGTTTCGTCCTTTCGTATTCCCAAGCGAGATCCCGCCGACAATGACGTCTTCGTCGTCGGCCACGCGAAACGGACGTGATTTCACGCCGGACCAAACCGCGATTTTATACCCGTGGCCATTTTACTGTAAAATTTTGGCAAGTGAAGCGGATATATTTTAAATTTTATATATTATTATGTAAAGTTATTGAAAAGCACAATTTTTATACATAACGATGAGAAATCAAAAATTGTACGCGAGATATTATTCATAGTTTTAAAAATATAACGTATGAAAATTTCTATGTCACAAATTCTTTTAATTCTTTTACAAAAAGCCTGCAAAATATGTATATTAAAAAATTTGTATTACTATATACATATATATATATATATATTATTTTAGTATAACGTATCTCTCTGTATTATTTTTGCACACAAAATGCGAGTACTTTATACAACTTCCATATTTGCCAAAATGAACGAGAAAATCGCGTAATGATAAAATTACACGATTAAAAAAATATGTAAAAATTCGAAATTTTCGATTCATTATTGTAGACTTTACACCATAACGCGAACGTGTATATGATGCGGAATCATAGCGAATAAAATAATTCTAAAAAGAACTAGCTTTTTTCGCATCACTTATATAACATCTCGCAAAGCGATGAATTGAGAGAAAAACGCAGTCAGATAAGGATATCACGCGTGCAACGCGAGAGTCGTCGAGCCGGAAAAGGTTAATATATTCCCAGTCCTCTGGAAGCGCATGAGGGTTAAGGTCATTAAATGGGACGGCGATGATGGTGGTGGATGTTGGCGGAATATAAGATCACACCGTCCGTAATTCGTTAGCGCGACGCGAACATGATAATTTTAATTTGCACATCTCCCCTTCCCCCCTCCCCGCGTGCTCTCTCCTCTTGATTTATATTTGCCTAATGATATTCTTTATGTAATTATTCGACGGCGCGATAACTTATAATTAAAAGTCGCGAAAGTGAACTATTAGAAGGACGTCGACGAGTTTTCTCCTCCTCGAGGGCAGAGAGGGGGATAAGTTTCGTTAAATCTTACAATTCTATAATATCTCCAGTTACCGATTTGCCCTACGTAAATAAGTCTAAGGGAGGGTATGAATCAAGTTTTTCCTCAACAAAGATTGGGAGGGGATTTGTATATGATTGGCGTTGGGGAGTGATATTGATTATAAAGAAATTATAATGTCTTTAAGAAATTTAACATCGCATGAGATATTTAATTTGTATTTATTTATTTAAAATGTAATGATAAAATTGTCTACTTTTATCTTTCGTGTTTTAGTAAACTGATATAATCTTTATTTTGATCTAATTTGTGATTTCTTTTCGCGTAATTATTTAGTAAAACAGAGTCGACGCTTCAATTTAATGATGTAAATTCGATAGTAAAATTCTGTGGCAAATTTAAAATACTACGTGGTTGTAATTAATTGTAAAGAGATTTAAATGTTTTGTTGATATAAATAATAAAAGAATTTTGACAAAAAAATGCTGTCCCAGCTATCTGCAAGCGCACATCATTTGACAATAGAATGACATGCTCTTGCTAACTGGGTTTTGACAGTTCGAATGACACGTGTTACTATCCTATATTTTATAATATTCTAGTAAATTTAATATGTTAATTTGCATTTACCTTATATACATAAGTGAAAAATGAGTCGCTTTTCTGCATCTTTCCGCGAGATTTGCAAGCGATCGGCAAAATAGATTTTTCCATTTGCCACTGAATTTTATATGCGGTATCGTTTATCGCGCGATAGATGGCGACACCGACTTGATAAGGGTTCGAGAGGGTGGAGAAGAAGGAGAATGGATTGAGTTTCGAGTCGATATTATTACGCGATTTGAAAAATCTTCGCGATTGATAACGTTATCATCGGGATCGGATACGCGGCTTCGTTCGCTTTCCCGGTGGTGGGAGAGAAAATAGGGAGACATGCCGTTTGGCTGTGTGAAAAAAGCGGCGAATAAAGACAGCCGAACGACAACGCGGCCGGCAAGGACGATCGTATGGCGGGACGGGTTGTTTCGCCACCACGAGGGAGAGATTCGTGGACCGAATCGAGAGAAATCCGTCCGTCCGAGAATGAGCGTGGAGATATTCTCAGACAATGAGAGAATGTCCGCGGGAGAATTGATACGACCGGGAAAGCCTCTTAAGTTAATACCTCGCGGCCGCCGTTGCTGACAAACGCTTTTCTCCCTCTTTTCGTCGGGGGATCTCGCGTTTGACTGGTCCAGCTTTCGTTCGAAAAAGAGGTACGGTTGTACAATCAGACCGAAGAATTCGTCGATAATAATCGTTCACCATTGTTTCTAAGAGTATCGTCGTATATATGGATTGTCTGAAGAAATTCTCAAATTTTCTTGGCAGTCGCCAAGAATTTATTTGTACAACATAAATATATATCTTTCTTCTTCCCTCTCACAGACATTAGGAGGCAAATAGATTATAGTGTGAATATATAAAAGAGAATTATATATGTTACACAAAACTGGGTACAAGTATGATATATAGTTGTAATGTACAGCAACAAGTGACATGATGTACACTTCATGTTTATTGAGAAATTCTTTTATAATTTTTCCATGCTGTATATTTTATGATTTTGATTTAATAATGCAATATGTTTATAATCAATCGTATGAAAACAGTTAGTACTAGAGGTAAAAGCTAGAGAGTTTTGGTTCTTTTAGGAATGATATGTGAGAGTGCTTCCCACGAGGCATCTCACTGGAAATCAAAGTCAACGTAGTTCGCAAGGATTCTAGATTCTACCCCTACTCTGCCACGTCGCTATATCAATGTGGCGTCAGTCCTGGTCAGGACGCAGCCTTAGTTCAGTGTGCTTCCAGCAGTGCTATCGAAGGCATCGCAGGCTCAATCTTACAATTTAACAAAGAGATTTTTGCGGTGTTTGCAGTTTATAGGATCGCTCCACTTTTATCAGAATCATAATAGATCCTTGTAGACATAACAAATTTAAAGGCTGCCTGTGTTAGATTCCACCACTAAGATGGTATGTATTCTGATTCTTCTCTTTTGACTCAGGTAAATGTGCAGTGGAGCGAGATGATTCACTATGACAGCTTCTCATTTCATATTTCTTTCCTTGTATGGGTCGGGATCAAATTTCCACACATATTACAGAGTTGTTCCTTCTCTCTCCGATAGCTCCATAATAGCGATATAGCATATTAATATCGAAATTATTAACTTGTAAATTGTTACAAGTCAGTGATATAAATTTATTATATACTTTGTACATCTATATGAATATATATGAAGAATTTCTTTTGAATTTGTATAATTAACATTATATATATGCAGTGCATGTATATAAGTTTTGGTCTTTCAATGTAATTTCATGCTTTAATGTAATGGAAAAACAACAATTGTTAATTAATTATCCATACAAGGATTAATATCCCTTATTCAAACATATAGTTGCACATTTGCCACTTAAATTATGGACCATATGAACCACATTTCTATGCCCTGCCATAACAAAGAGACAGACCCTAGAGGTATAATGGCCCTTTCTTCCACAGATTGCCTCACCTCATAAACCTATTAATATTTTTCCGCTGTATTAGAGCTCGATTTCAGTAATATACAGGATAATAAACTAGCGAGAGATGGATATAGACATTTTCAGGACTGGTAAGAGCATTCAATAGATTGCGTTATAGGTTTTGTGGATCAATACCACACAAAATGGTCTGCGCAACAGACCAATAGGAGTGTGCATATATACATGTATACGCAAAGATGCATCCCTCTGCGCAGCCTGCTAGGAGATGGGCTATAGTTCCTTCGCCACGCTCCACCCTTACAGTTCCTGACAACAGAAAAACCTCCCTTAGCTGTTTAATTGAGAGATATGACTCACCGCAGAGCTCCATCGATCCAGCATCCCAGATTTCCCTTCTTTGTTAGCACGTACCAACTCTCTGCTTCTTCGCAGAGCTATAACTATGTATGAAATCAATAAAATCTTTATATTATTTTCTTGTTTAGTAGATACATTTGCTGCCAATAGAAGTATATAATTTTTCTATTTTTACTTTTATTTGCATATTTCATTTTTCTTTCCATCAAAATTTAGTTTATTAATTATAAAGATAGTTAATCGAATGTGTGAATATATTTTCTGTTTCATTGTAGTTATATAGAATATCTTGGCAGTTATATTTTTATTCAGACACATATTATGTATTGTGTTATAAAAATATAAAATGTTTTAACAGTCAGATTTATATCTGTTTCAGGTTGGGACTAACCATGTCCTCTAAGAGGCATCGCGGGCGAATATTAAGTGTAGATAACAAAATTGTACATGAGGGCCATAATAGATAGGATGAGCGCATCTCGACACAACGAAGCACGTTGCTTCAATGAGAACTCTCCCCGGCCACCAGTGCCAGGTAAGATGAAGCAAACTTAAATTAAAAGACTGCAGGGGATATATACACATGAAAGAAAACCATGTGAGACTGTTAGCTTATATTTTTTTTTTAAATGCGATGGTAGTCCTAAAAACTCATATTCTTTTTGTAAAAAAAACCGAATCTTTTTATAAAATAATTACAAAAAATATTTTTTTTCAAAAAAGATACAATATAAAAATTATTAGATTTTGTTGGTAATTTATGGTTTTTTTTTTCAGTTGCATGGTTGTGAAATCGTCTCCATATAAGAATGTTGTCCCAATAATGTCCAAATTAATTTTAAATGCTGATATATGTTAATTTATGAAGGAAATATACCAACATACTTTGAAACTTATTTCGATAAAATCTCCGTATTTTAGGAGAGGAAACGGGAAACTATGTCAGCCGGATCCGTCCACAGAGTCCCGCTTTGACACCTAGACGTTCTTCTTTCGCGACACCGCACGTCTCCAGCGGTGATTGCGATGTTTCCGCGCCATTGGGATTCGAGCCGGAGGGTTGTTGCGGAACCACTACCATGGAGAGCAATTTGCGTCCCGCTCACGAAAGATGGGCGGACAATCTGCACTCCCTGTTAGAGGATTCGGTGGGTCTGGAGCTATTCAAGAGATACCTGGATGAAGAGGGGCACTTGGATCCGCTCATATTCTGGTTTGCCTGCGAGGGTCTCAAACAACAGGTGGATGTTGGGAAGATCCCGCAGCTAGTGAAGCTCATTCATCAAAGGTTTTTTCGCAAATCTCGGCTAACCATACCGGAGAATGTGATGAAGGAAGCGGATCGGCGGGTCAAGGAGGGTCGCGCCGATCAGAAAGTGTTCGATATCGTGCAGCTGGAAGTCGAGCGGCTCATCAACGAGACGACATATCCCAATTTTTTCAAGTCCGACGTGTACCTCCACTACGTTCAATCCTGCCAGAATACCAATTCGGGCGGTTGCCCAAGCTCGAGTTCGGGCAGTCGCGAGATGTCCATCTCTTGCGGACCGAGTCTATTGCCCACCGTGCACGAAGACAGCGAGTATGTCGACATTATACACAATTCACACTCGGTCGGCGGGACGTCCGGAGAATTAAGGGAGTTAAGATTGACCAAAGATGTCCTGATGGCTACCCAACAAAGTAGAGCAATGGATTTACGACCGAGGCCAGAGGCGTACGCCGGGTAATAATACGCTTTTCTTAAAATCCGAGCCTTATCTTGAATTATCATTTGTTATTTTGTACAGTACGCTTCAAATCAATACTGCGATGAATGCCTTAACAGCGCTATCGTTTCTTTTTGAAGCTTGATGTGATGAAACTTTTGCATAATTTGGATTAAATTTTAAGTTTATATTTTATTATCACCGATTCCCGAGCAATTTTGACATTGCCGGAAGATAAATTCGCTATTTTTTCCCCCTCCCTCGTAATAACGTTTTTTAATAGTTTGTCCAATTACATGTAATTTTTTTTATTTCTACTTTTCTTTTTCTTTTTACAAAGTAATCCCGTTTTTTACTTGCCGTTGACTTAGTTGTTTTTGTTTTGCTGTTTTGCGTGGCACTTGTAGCATTTACTTACAACATGGGACTAGTCCATATCACATGCACGTATCCAGATTGCACGCACAATATTCCTCCTACAATCCAGTATCCAGACAGGATTCTGAGCTTCAGAGTTTGAGCAGTGATGCACGTACTGAAGTGGACAATATGTCCCTCAACGATGGATCCATGTAAGTTTCTTTCGTTTTTTGTTTGTTTTTTTTTTTTTTTTAAATTTTGCATAGTTTTTATTTTGCAAGAGAAAATGGAAAGCGTCTTTAATTTTTATCTTAATTGCATTAAAATATTTCAAATTATTTAATGTTAGATTAACTTAACGTTAATAATATTTTTATTATTAATTCGTATGTATTTGCGACTATCATCTGCAGCGACGGAACGAACAGCGGACAGAGGAGTAAAAAGCAATACGTGAAGCAATCTAGTAGGGCAATCAAAGAAGCCGCGAATATAAATCGCGAATCCATGGTGCATCACGTCGTCCCGCGAACCCAGCGTATGGCGTCCCCGAAACAGATGCCGGCGGAGCAGTTTGCGGAGATGCTCACGCAGAAACTAGAGATTCTGGCGCGAGAGCAAAAAAACCAGGAGAAACTAGACAAATGCTTGCAGCAAGGGAACGATATGTCCATCGGTAACGACGTGTCATTAGAAGCGATGAATGGGGCAACCCACAAGACTCTGGGTGACGCGCCGAAGGAGAAATTGCCCTTGGAGGAGGATAGTAATCAAGCCATCCTCGACGAACATGTGTCTCGCGTCTGGTCGGACCAGACACCGTCAAGAACCCCCAGGCTCTCGCCTGAGAGGAGGCGTCCTACGCACAATTATCCACGATCTTATAAGCAGAGGAAAGAAAAAGATGTGGACTCTACATTCTCAGTGGATAGCGGTAATATCCACGATTTCCAGGATCGCAGCGAGCTTGTCGGGGCTAGTTCCATGAGTTCGCTAGGTTCGCATCTGCCCAAATCTAAATCCGTGCCATCCGATTACGCCGATTCCCTCTACAAGCAGGATCTCTACCTCCAAGGTAAATCAAACAAACGATTCGTTTACACATGTAGAAACCGAATTGTGACCGCTAAAGTAAAACGTTCTCTCGTTTGCAGGTCATGAACAAAGATTCCGAAGGTCGGACATGACAAGACGATCAGCTACAAAGAAATCAATGGCAGAATTAACGGACAGTGGGGTGAGCGTCGTTAGTGACGTACCGCCTTCCATAAATAAAGATATTCGTCTGATACCCCGGTTTAAGGAAGCAGACAAAAAAGTGGATCTGAAACATAGTTGTCGTCACGGCAAGAGGTATGGCTCGCGTAGCGGATCCTTGGAAAGACCAAACAGAGAAACGTGGAGCATGGGCGTACCTGCTCAACCGTTTGTTGCTGACCCGGGAATGCCACCTTTAACACCACCTCACACGGTAAATCAAAATTCCTCTCTTTTATTCCTCTCTTCGCGCGCTTGATAGTAAATGCGTTACAAATGTATATATGTTGCAGGATATTCAATTAGAGGAGACATGTAGGAGACTAAAAGAGGAAAATAGAGTGCGCGCCAGTTGCAAGCAACGACCTACGAACGTTTCGAAACAGATGTACGAGTTCGCGTCACAGAGTCAACCGTACGTTCAGTCCAATCAGTCCACGTTGAGAAAACCGAAACAGGACGCGGGCGATTTTACCATTGTTGTGTTCAGTTTCTGTGACGAGCAGTTCCCATACAGGACAAAGATTCCTGGTCACAATGTCACTTTAAAACAATTTAAGGAGTATCTTCCGAAGAAAGGGAGCTATCGGTAACGTATAACATTACCGCGGCTTTGTTAATAATATTTACTATACTAATTTCACTAATATTATAATTTTTTTCTTTATCGTAGATACTTCTTTAAAACGGAGTGCGAGGACTTGGATATGAAAGTTATACAGGAAGAGATAACGGACGATACCGAGGTTTTGCCATTGTGGGAAGGCAAAGTGATGGCGCAAGTTAAAGCGCTCGAGTAATAGACTGAATAGAAAAAACCGAGCGAGAGAAAAACATGCACGATTTTTAACAAAGTGCCGCAATAAATATCTAAGAGATCCACACACATACACAACACTCGACCGGCAAGTCGATGCGCTCGGTATTTATACATATATACATATTAAGCTTGTCACGCGGCCTCCATTTTTCATAATTGCCTAAGAAAGTAGTTTTAATCAATAGAAAAAGAAATTATCGAATCGAGCAATATCGTTGCACGGATGAACGGCTGCGGAAAGAAAAGAAGAAACGGCCTCATGTTAAACTGTCAATCGAATGTCCTCGGAAGAACGTTGTATTCTTCTTCTTACTGTTTGCTTCCGATTTTTCGTCAAAATCGTTTACACGTATCTGGGCAGAGAAGAGCGTTCTTTTTTTTAATCCTCCCTCTTCGAGATTACTTTATCAACGAATTGACGCAGCTCGTGCGCGACAGCGCTTTATTGTACATAAATTAGTATGTAGTGTGATTTTCACGACAAGACGACGACATTACGTCGGTACAGACTTTGCCAAGCGCAGGATATTCAATTAGAGGAGACATGTAGGAGACTAAAAGAGGAAAATAGAGTGCGCGCCAGTTGCAAGCAACGACCTACAAACGTTTCGAAACAGATGTACGAGTCCGCATCACAGAGTCAACCGTACGTTCAGTCCAATCAGTCCACGTTGAGAAAACCGAAACAGGACGCGGGCGATTTTACCATTGTTGTGTTCAGTTTCTGTGACGAGCAGTTCCCATACAGGACAAAGATTCCTGGTCACAATGTCACTTTAAAACAATTTAAGGAGTATCTTCCGAAGAAAGGGAGCTATCGGTAACGTATAACATTACCGCGGCTTTGTTAATAATATTTACTATACTAATTTCACTAATATTATAATTTTTTTCTTTATCGTAGATACTTCTTTAAAACGGAGTGCGAGGACTTGGATATGAAAGTTATACAGGAAGAGATAACGGACGATACCGAGGTTTTGCCATTGTGGGAAGGCAAAGTGATGGCGCAAGTTAAAGCGCTCGAGTAATAGACTGAATAGAAAAAACCGAGCGAGAGAAAAACATGCACGATTTTTAACAAAGTGCCGCAATAAATATCTAAAAGATCCACACACATACACAACACTCGACCGGCAAGTCGATGCGCTCGGTATTTATACATATATACATATTAAGCTTGTCACGCGGCCTCCATTTTTCATAATTGCCTAAGAAAGTAGTTTTAATCAATAGAAAAAGAAATTATCGAATCGAGCAATATCGTTGCACGGATGAACGGCTGCGGAAAGAAAAGAAGAAACGGCCTCATGTTAAACTGTCAATCGAATGTCCTCGGAAGAACGTTGTATTCTTCTTCTTACTGTTTGCTTCCGATTTTTCGTCAAAATCGTTTACACGTATCTGGGCAGAGAAGAGCGTTCTTTTTTTTAATCCTCCCTCTTCGAGATTACTTTATCAACGAATTGACGCAGCTCGTGCGCGACAGCGCTTTATTGTACATAAATTAGTATGTAGTGTGATTTTCACGACAAGACGACGACATTACGTCGGTACAGACTTTGCCAAGCGAAATTATTTGCCGTAATTCCGTCTGGTTTAGTATCAACGTCACTTTTACGGGTCAGTTTGGGCAAGAACGGCAACAACAGCGAATCGTACCGAATACATTGTGACCGGCTATACAATTTCTTCCTTTCGAATACTTCCCATAGTTCTCCAAACGACTGTACAAAGGTAGTGATCGCGTAATTGATCGCCTTAGTAAGGTCCGCGTAGGCACTAAACTTACATAGGAAAGAGTAATTATAAATTGGCGTCTAAAGTATTACGTGTATTTTACACGAATAAGACATAGCGCGTCTTGTTTAATACACGTAATATATTTTTACGCGATGTGACGTGCAACGTGCAGAATATAAAATTGAAAAAAAAACGTTACGAGAATCATTTTTTTTATTTTTTTTATTTTTTTCCTCCCATATTTTGTTTGCCACTATTATTGTTGATCATAGTCACACATCCGACATTGCAAAACAAGCTCACCAAGTATAGAGCCTAAACATATACATGACGATTTACAGTACATGTTTCCAAAACACGCAATTTTGGCATTGGAACGGCGAACACCGATGGAAAAAAAAAGTAAGAAAAATCATTAGCGTTTAGATTGTAATAATGTATTATCAGGTGCGGAAATAAATGTGCCTTTTTAGTACGGTAAGATCGAAATAAGCCTAAGAAAGAGAAAGAGAGGAAAAGGTTGAAAGATATTTATAAATTGCAGTACAGGGGCCCAATCCTGATGGGAGAAACATTTTGTGTCCAATATTATTAATATATTCCCTCAAAATTGTATCTACACTGATGTATCGACGATTGTCCGCCTCGTATATCGCGGATTCGTCCATAACAGTTTATTTAACCTTTCAGTCTTATCGAAGATTGCTAAGTATCCGGTTTTAGTCTCCGAACGAAGAAGAATCTCCAGTCCGGAGATTTTGCTTTGATGCAGGCGTACGTTACAATTTCATATTCTCGACCGCAATATTTATTTTGTAGACTAATCGCGCTCGCGTTTCATTATGCAACTTTTTTTTAGAAGATGATTTTTCTGGGCAACCTTGGCTGGTCTTATCCCTCTACGTTGCTCAAATTCTGACTCTTGTTACATATTCGAAATTAAAATCTTATCATCTTTGCCTATATAAATATAGACTGTTAGTGAGCTGTCTATCCTATTGCAAAATCAAACGATAAGCGTTTCCAAATGTAACGGGTTTTTGATAAATCACATTCCACGTGAAAGTCGAATCGCCGTCAAATGTTTTATCAAATCCTTTTATATTTATTAATTAATAAATAATCAAAAGATACTAATTAATATTATATTACATATAGTTTTATTTCGGTATATTATTATTTGATATAAATCGATATATTATTATCTGATATATTTAATATAAATCGTGTTATCGATATCTCGATATTTTTACAACAGGCATACAGCAACTGGCATGCAGTCCATTCTTATATAGTCAAAGCTTATATGTATCGTATTCTAAGATAGAGATCGCAGAGTATTGTAAAGATGCTCAATCTATTATTTATCCTTCCGATTTGTAAAACGATAGCGTTATCCAGTTGACCTGTATCTCTAACTCGCATCAAAGAAACTAAAACAAGAGAGATCTACTGAAGTAAAAAGATAAAATTAAAATTTGAGACTGAAAGGATTAAATTGTAACACATATTTAATTGAAAGTACAATGTAAAAAAAAAATGCTCGCCGTTTTTTATCAGATGGCCCTTAAATCGATGGTTCGATTTTGTCGTAATTTGCCGGAGCTCGCTTCCTACGCGTGATCCCTATGGGAAAGCCGGAGGAAAAAACAATAAAACCGTAGAAACGACGTATGTATTGTTTATTTATAAATTCGGTCGATAACGTTTTTTTAATTATATGTAATTGATCATCATCAATATCACACGGACGTTAAAGTGTTCCTGTACCTAATTAATTAATAATTATTATTGTATATCAAAAATATTGAGAGAATAATAATGCGATTTTCACTGAATTAAATGAACACACGCTATATTGTACACGTTCTTCAAGATCTTTCGTCCTATCTGTAATCCTGTACCTGCTGTACATCTACATGATGCAGCTTATATCATCTTTAGAAAACAAGGTAACTTTTTTTTATATAATAATTGATTTTCACGTTTGCATATAATTGAAAAGATAACATCGATATAAGTTATCTCCCATTCGAATCGATTAATTTGATAAAAATTCGTGTGTGACAATGGAATTAATTTTATTTAATATTGGATAAGACCTCAAGAATATTTCAGTATTTTATTAATCTTATATCTCAAATTTGATAACAATAATATATGTCAGTTTTGTACAAAGTTTAATAGAGCCGAATATATATTTCTTTTCTCGTTAGATTCTTATATTGCTGAGAATATTAAAGTTTGTTCTATTTGTATTCTATTTGCGAGGCTTATTAATTATAAAATATTCTTTGAAAATATATTTTTAACAAATATATGTGTAAAAATATATAATAAAATCAAGATATCAAATAATTCTTAGGAAGATCTGTCCAGCAAAAACATATCGTGACTTATGTAAGTGGTAAAAAATTTTACGAGAGTATTTGTAGCTTAATGGACCATTGCGTGAAACGTGCACGGATCATGATTCTGTTTGTGCTATATGACGGCCAAATGAACACAATATATTCCATATTGACATTAGGGCTCAGATTCGATAAGAATTACCCTCGATATGATATGGACAATGATAAGCAACCTTGTAAATATTTTATCGACAATTGTAACCAAGGTAACTATAATCTGGACTGTTACTGATGTGATGGTGGTGGATATGCGGGGTTGTACGGAGCTTGTTTAGCGTACACTTCGGTGCTGTACGGCGGGGGTTGTGGCATTCCTAAAAAATTGAGTAGAAATAATTATATCTGATTATTCCTAGAATTGAAAAAAAATTTACACATTTTTTTTCTGTATCGACATTAATTTTTAGCCAAATAATAATAAAAAAGTCAAGAGACTTTTAAAACATAAAACTGTGGTACGAAATAACAGTTTAGTCTTTTTATAAAGTACCGAATCTCTTTTATGAATCGGCGTTTTATTAAAAAACTTGAATTTATAAAGAACTTGCGATATAATAATACATGTATAAAAATTTTTTGGTCAAATACCTATTGAACTCGTTGGATATGAAATTTGTTGGTTTGGAATTGCTTGACTAGTGTAGCTTGGTGGAAGATTTGCCTGGGGCTGAATTACTTGCACAACAGGTGTCTGAACTTCTGTAACAAGTACTCTTGTAACAAATACAAAGAGATTCTGACCATACGTAAGTTCGTTTCAGAGACAGCAAGCAAATTAGCATTAAAAATTCAAATCAACTAAATAAAAAAAAATAAGAATGTATAATTTAACAAAATTTAATTTTGAATTAAAAAAGAAATATCTCTTCTAATCGATGAAAATTGAAAATCCTTGTGTGTTCTTAAGTATTTTTTCATATTAAACATAATTTATTAAAAAGGGAGGAATGATATATATAAATGGTAATGTGAGCGATGAATTGGATTTATAAAATAATTTAAAATTTTATGAAAAATGTATATATTTTTTAGTATCTTATAATGCTTAATCAAATACACGACCTGCATGTTATTACTACAATATTCGATTAGCGATTCTAAATGCAAGCGAGTTTAATGTTAAATAAATGAGCATAGAGGATTACAAGGAATGTTTACTTGGAATGTTTACTTGGACGCACTCGAAAAGATTTAAATGAATCGATCATGTAGAATAAAATCAAAGATAAAATCTACATACAAAATGTTCCATCAAGTTTGTCCTTAGTGATACCTTAGTGGTACCTTATATTATAACTATATATTTCTAGATAGATTTGCGCACACTCTTCCTCCCTCCCCATAATATAAAAAATAATATTTTATAAAATAAAAACTATTGTATTATATATATATATATATATATATATTATCACACGGATAATATGTGGAACACTTCGTAAGTACATTAGGTACATTTTGGAAGGTTCTTAATGCTATGAGATACAGCCGACAAAAATATCGAAACGAATCTTATACAAAATATTCAGTATCACAATGTAATACAGTTTCAGAGTATGTCAGACTCGGTTTCTACTGTGCGAACTACTTTAGACTTTAAGAGCGAGTTCTCCATGTAAAAATACTTTTATCGAACAAATTACTTTTATTTAATAAAACTCAAAAACTTAATAACTCTTATTGTTAGCAGAAAAATAATCTCTTGCCATAATATAATACTGTCGTTACAAAAAAAATAAAAACATGAATACAATACATGGGCATTCTTACAAGGAGGATTCGCTTAACGATATATATATGTATATATGAGTATATATAAAGGAATGTATAAATTTATATTCCCTATGTGGGAATTATTTCAATGCGAGGTTACATAAAAAGCAGAGGATACAAATAACTGTGAAAAGATCTTTCAAACCCTGACACATGCAAATACTCTTCGCAGGAGGGTGTGTCGGTATGGTATTATGCCATGGCCCTAGATCCTAGAAAGAATGACGATTCCATTACTGGCCAATTAAAAATTCGTCGATACTTGGTTTTATTACTAATATGTTACGATTGCGTTTATCTTCATCACATAAAAATATTTGTAATTTATAATTATTCGGGTATCTCTTAAAGAGTGCTTTTCTACGAAGGCTATTGCTGCTGTCTCTGATCATTCGTTTTATACATAATGAAAAATATTGTATATTATCGAATATATATGATGAATTCAATATTAAGAAAAATCGCGAGTAATGACACAATTAATACAGGAAAAATTCAAGAAAAAGATTTACTTCCATAGACGGTGCCTTGGTGACGACGGCGATACCATGGGCAACAGCTGCAGCAGAGACAAGATATACAACACACTATCAATCCAACTGCTATAGCCGCGACGATTATCACGGGAACAATGATACCGAGTCTGTAAAGGAACATTATATATGCATTAAATGTATGCATCAGACCGTGAGACACTTTCAAAAATAATAATTATATATTATATTATTATATTATTTTATAAATATATACTATATTCTTGTATTATTTTAACGCTCCACACATATATATTGTTTTAGCACTTTATATAAATCATCTAAGGGATTGAGCATTATCTAGAATTAATGCAGCAAGCATCAGGCGCGAGAGAGTTATTTTAAACACTGTGAAAGTATGTTACGAGCGATTATAAAGACTTTACCCGTTTTTCACCGCAAACTCCTCGAAGTCGCAACAATAGGTCCTTTGATCGACTATATCGAAGCAGCAATAAGACTTATCGGACCGATCCAGTAAACCCGGGCATGAAGTAAACGGCTTCTCCCATACGTTCTTATTAGTGCCAAAAGAACAGTCCATCCCTAAAAAATGAGCAGTTCTGACAATACGCATCACAATAATTTTTTACGCACAAGATATTCTTAAAAATATAAAGGCGCCTTTGCGCATACTAACAATGAGCTACTAACTGCTGACAAGATGTTAATCTTCCAATAATTTTAAATAAATTACAATTAATAAAAATATAATTTTTTATGTTATTAATA